AGTAAAAAAACAGGGAGGAGACCTATTTTGCCATTCTCAAATTAAAAGCATGTAAACACTAAGTGAGTTGAAATACTGTACACCTCACACACCTTTGTAAAAATAAATTTCAAATGACATGTGAGAATTCTCTGATAAATTGAAAGTTTTCCACTGTTATCAGAGATGCTACGTACACTTAAATGCCTGACTAAAAGTACCATCTGTCCAATTTCACAGGGACATCACGGAAATATCTACAGAAATACTTGGTTTTACAGGCAATCTCAGGAATTTGCAGGATTTTCTTTTAGCTTTTTCCAAGCATAGAAAATACTTAAAAATATTTCACGTCAACTTGAAGCTTCCTTTAATTAATATACTCATTCGACATATTGGCATTCCATGTTCTGTAATACAGTTCCCTCATTACAACAGTGGCACCAGCTACTGCAAAACTTCCAGTCCCTCTTTCACCAAACCAGTTGCACTTCAGGAGGAGGAGGAGATCATCACACTCAAACACTATAACCTAGCTATTAATTAATGTACTATGAACATCACCATAATATCATGTAACTTAATTTAACTGCTTGCTAATTGATTTGATGCTTTTTATTGCTGCTTCTGCAGCCACTACAACTGCTAACATTTAAAGAATTTGACATACTTCAGCCTCAGTTCTTTGATGCACTATTCTTTTAATATTCAATTAAATAAATCACTTGTATTGCTGTTTAACAGTTACTAAGTTCACACAATTATGACATTTCTGGAAGTTTCCATAGATGAGTCCCTCTGAGTATTTAAGCACTGCTATCAGTGTCTGAAAAAATTAAGAATACTGCAACTTTAAAAAATAATATACAGATTTGAATTTGTTGCACACCTTTGGAGCCCATTATCTGAGCAATCTCACACTGAAGCATTAATCCAAATCAAACCATAACTTACACCGTATATAGGATAAAAAGAATATTACACAGGGGGAGGCTCATATTCAGCTGCTATCTAGTCCATGTATACTTTTGTTGACACAAGGCTAGCACAATATCCCTCCCTCATACATGATCTGCTAGATATGCTGAGGGCAGCTAATATTTCACCACAAAACTTTTAAAATTAGCTGTGTTAACCTCCTTTCATATGCACATCAATTTATATCACAAAATGCTTATTCACAATGAGTTACTCAACAGTAGTTCTGTGACACAGAAGGGAGAGCAGGTGTTGTTTTAAAAAATCAGTAGCACTGATGTCAATCATCTCCCCGTGTGTAATAATCTCAGAAGAAGAATGGAAATCCAGCCCTGGGGTTTCTTACCTTAAATCTAAGCAACCACTTAATGCATAAATGGAGCAAATAAAAGAGGTAAGGAAAAAAAGCATTGAAAGGTTAGTTGGAACTTCAGGATATGAAGAGAAAGGAAAAAGAAAGAAAAAAGTTAAGCATTCAGCATTAACAAAATAATGTATCAGTAGATCATAGAAAGAGTGGTTAAAGCAGAATGTCATGAACAAAAGATCTTCAAGGTGAAACTTTTAATATACATTGACGACAAAGCCTTCAAATTATTACTTTAAATCAACATTCAAATGCTTGTACACTGTTTACTCAAGCTCTTACAGTGCTAACAAAAAGGCAGATTCTTTCAAAATGTATCACGAGGTCTAGATGGATTAACTTCAGAGATTAATTTATTTGTGCTGTCAAAGACTAGCCTTATCAATGAGCCTGAGCTCATTTAAATTGTTTACATGCATTAGCACATTTATAAGTAGCTGAAATGGAAGCTTTAACATATTACGCTAATGTATGTTCTTTTCTAGAGAATGCTGTTAGTTAACTTGGTGCCATGAGATCTCTCTTGAACAAAGATCAAGAGCAAATCATTATGTCTTGTAAGAAGTACAGAACTCTTTATGGATACTGTACCACATATCCACATTTCCTAAACTATAAATTAAGATATTAATTAACAGCAAAATATTACTTTAAAGCCTATGTGCTAGATTTTTGACACCAAGTTTTGCATCTTACTGGCACAATATCATACATCTTTCTCCATAATAATTTATTTTAAAATTACTTGTCCGTCTCTTTGAATTATCTGCTTTTAGTTCAATTCCTCTAAATGTATCATTAAATTTGTTACACTTTCTGCAGCACTGAGCAGTAAATATTCAGGTAAATATTTAAATATTCAAATAAATAATTATTTAAATATTTTGATAAATAGCAGAGCATCCAGAGTGACTGATTTGTTCCATCAATTTAGAAGTGACCCTGCTCTACTAAAAAAACATAATCTGATTTACTAGAAAATCTCCTGTCTTTGAATTTAAAGTTCTGTGGATCAATTAACCAATATGGTCTCTGCCTCACAGAGCTACACTGGAAAACCAGGCCCCCCTGTACTGGGCACCGTGGTCAGTTACAAGGGAAGGTTCATCTGCAGAGACCTCAGCAACACTGCCTGGTAACTACAATGCCTTAATAAACACCTCTCTGAAGGGAGCACTTATTTTTATCCCATTATCTTGACTGAAGAACTCTTTGGCAGGAACAATAGGTTGGAAGACTTTGTAACTTGGGAAACATTTGAAAAAAATTGAAAGCAAGCCTCTTTCACACAAAAGATTCTTTAGGTTTTTGCAGCATTGTAGCTTCAGGGAGGGAAGATGAGGAGGGACTGCTGGAATGATACAGAGGCACTTGAATTCTCTCACATCTATTTAGGAACCATTCTGCAGAGCAACACTTCCTGAACATTGTCTCTACTATGCTTCAAATTTCTGAATGGGAGGAATAAGATGCTTGAGGGCCTCTTAATATTCCACTTCTCTCAACATGGTATACTGAATTTCTCGGCCAAGAATCCTCCTTTTCATTCCTATATTACTCTGTCCAGCTTGCCATCTTTCTCCGGGGTTGCAACAAATGTCTGCTGCCATCAGCACTCTGCCTGTCCTGAAAATACATTATTCTGGGTCCAAGTACTGGAGCAGAATCCCTTCAGCAGAAAAAGGACAAAGAACGCAGACTGAGGAATCCTGATGCTAAGTGTAACGCTGTTTATGCAGCAACTCCTGAATGCTCATTTGAAGGGAAAAGTATCACAACTCAAATAATAAAGAGCTATAAATAGGTAAATTTAAAGGTTCTACCTATCTTTTTTTCTCTCTGTTCTACAGCCAAAGATCTGATAAACTAATCTGTAGTTACTCAAGCAGAACAAAAACAGGTTCATAAGCACAACTGGCCACCTTTTCCCCCATCAGCAAGAAAGCTGTTATTTCTTCTGTCCTAAACACAGGATTAACCTGACTGGAGCACATTTATTGTCTTAAGGATAGCATGACTTCAAGTTCCTTGATTATTGTTTCACAAGGACACAGCACTTCTTTTCCAGACAAACATAGTGCATGGTAAATGTAATTTAAGTCTATCACAAGCATAACAAATGGATGTAAAACACACTCAAGTCATCATCCATCCAATGAACTATGTTCTTTCAGAAGAACTTAATTCATTGCATCTTAGTATGACTGCAACATTGAGGTAAGTGGGATACCAATTATAATGATTGAGAACCAGTACTAAATAAGATTGTGCTGCAGAGCAATTAAAAACTATTCTTTAATGAGTTCTAAAATTATCTCCCTAAAACAAAAAGTGATGATTAAAATATTAGCAACAGCAATCCTACAGGTTAAGATGCTCCATCCATATCCAGAAGGAGGTCTGATGACCTGTATAAATTCAAAATCAGTAGCAGATTTTAACACACAACTGGTAATAATTTCCTGGTCAAAACTGTAGTTATTAAAGTTTGGTATGCTTTTTTGTTTGTCCTTTTTAAAAATCTGTTCAGAGGTTGATTCTTTGGGTAAGAAATGGGGGGAAGGAGACTTTCCATTAACAAACAGGATGTTGAAAAGACCTTAAATAAAATTCCTTGGGAAAGATATTTAAATCAAACTGCTCCGAATTTGAATTTTTTAAGTTAGGTTGAACAACCTATTGCCATTTAAATGGCCATCTAAGCAGACAAGTCAAATACGACAACAGAGATATCCTAACCCAGTTACAAGTCAAGCAAAAGAAATTCTGGTGTACCTTGACTGGAAGAAGCATCTTACCTTACTGCTACTTAGCAGGTTTACAGATTCATTAGTTTGCCTTGTAAAAATGACATCACTTTGTGTTATTTACCTTTCATTTCCTGGAACTTTAATACTGTCAGTGTTCTCATTTCCGTAGTTGCTTCCCTGGCACCACAAGTTAATAATGAGCTCACACCTGATAAGAGTGTGTTTATATTCAGGAAGTATCTAACCACATTATATTACTGCTGCTCTGTACATCAAACAGCCACCAGGTGTGTCTCAGTCTGATCTCTGCCCTAAAACTCCTTTTTTCCTAATCTTGAAATGGCAAACCAGCTGGCTTTAAACATGGCATTAATATTCCCATCCCAAAACCCCATATGGCACAGAAGTTGTTGAGAGCTCCTTTTAACAAAGCACGTCACTGGGTTTGCGTATAACTGACTCTGGCAAAAAGAAGAAAAGGGAGTCCATATCACACCTCATGCAAACCCTTCCTTTGAGTAAGTGTCGAAGTAAACCACTGGCAATTACAGCTGGATCACACTCTGTGGTGCTAACTCAGGCAGAAAAGTGATGGTCATTAGCTCTTCAGTCCCCATATATATCCCTGGCAACTGACCCAAACAATAATAGCAGCATCATACAAGTTGATATTCAGAATCAGTTTAAAAGGTGAGACTCACAGTCCCAACGAGAAATGAGATTAAGTGAGTTTGCAACATTTAGAAACACTTGGGCAAGAGAAGGGGAAGGCACAACTGGAAACTGGACAGGACTCCTCTCATATTTATAGACACATTGTCCAGGCAAGGAGAAACTGGTATATTACCATGAAAAGCATCAGATAATTTTGAAAATATACAAAGACAATGAATTTGCAGTTTGGCTGTTTTAACAATATCACCTACCTTCACTCCATGTCCAATATCATCTAGAATTGTATAATCAATAGGTTTCCTGATGTAGCGAACTGGTCGCTCCAAGTTAGCTGGTGCAATGATTTTGTGAGTTCTTGAGGTGTTTTTGTTTGTAGTCAAGATACCAATTTCTCTTCTAGCAACTTTCTCTTTGTGAATGTCCACCGTCTACAAAAGACGCAGTGTATTTACTAACAGTGGTATGCATTGGAACACAGAGTCAGTATTAAAAAAAGTTAAATCAGTTCTAATGGTTCGAAAATCTCTACACTGTACTAAACATATCACTACATACTTATTACATCATCTGTCTTCAACTTAATGCTGAATTTGCCACCTCTAAAGCCACACTAATAGTGGGGGGGGGGTTTTGATTTTCTGTTACCCTCATTCTTTCAGTTTCACAAAATTCCTTCTCCTTTCCATTCTTAGTAGTTTGCATAATTTACTGACACTGTTTTATAAGACTCCTTCACTTATCCGTTTGTATTTTACAACTGCTCTCTAAGCTTGTCTTTGACATAGGCTTCAACAAGATGAAGTGTAAGGATGCCTTCCCAAACCTTAATTTTAAGACCTGAAAAACAAACCGTAAGCAGGTTTTTCTTACACTGCAAAAGTTTGCTAAATTAGGACTGGTAATACTATGATAGAATAAAATTTCACTTGGACAAATCAAGGAAGCATTTCAGTCATTACAACTCACTTATCACAAAGCAATGATTATATTTTAGTATGTGTTCCATACTAATTAATCCACAATAAAGCCAGAGGTTAAGCCCATTGTCTTCCCTCTGGATGCCATGGGCCAACGCTGGAAATCCCTCCTTTTATATATTAAAATCAGTACCACAGGAGAATCCTTGGTGTAAGACAAAGTCCTGCTGAAAATTAATTGCCTAAAAACATGTACATGAATCTTGTTAGGTAACAAGTAAGAAAATGCTACGAAAAAGCCACTTATCTCTTCCAGGAAAATATAATGCCTTAAATCATGGGCCATGGAGTTCCTTGACTTGTTTAAACCAAAAATAATTGCTTGTTCACAAAACAGCTTTCAATATAGGAAATTTGCTCAACGCTGAACTGAAGTTTTAGCTACAGGATAAAAAACAGAAGTAAAAACATCCAGAACCACCACAAGGATTTCTAAACGCTCAGATTCTTTTTACCACTTTAGTGATCAGGAATGGCACTAGAAACACTTTTCACAGTTTTGAACTGGGCTTTGTAGTAACTCGGGAACAGGTACAAATAAGAACTCATTTTCATAACACACATTTTTGTCTATTTTATTTTTCTGTTGGCAGGCACTGGAGCAGTGGGGTTGGCTACACTGTTTTACCTGGCTGTTAGCGCTACTGATACCAAAACAAGGTAATGGAACCTGTGCTACTTTGAACAATCATCACAACTTTTAAAATTACAAAAACAATTTTAGAAACCCCAACCAACCCACAAACTACTTCCAGTAAGTTGTTTCTCTGCATTATTTCCAGAGAAGGATTTCCACAAATACCTGAAGCATTACAAGCTTACAATATTATCATCAAGATTTCCTAGTATCTCCCAGCAACATATTTTCAAGATTTTGTAACTTTGCCAAAATTAAGCACTAGCTACAGCTTTGTCATGCATATTCTGCCACCTCTCTTTCCACCTGCCTAGAACTATAAGATTTCCACTACAGGTGCATAGCTATTTCTTGAAATAAAACCACAGAAAAACAGATTTTAAGGTCAAAATGTATTGGCAAAACTCTTTTTGGAAAGCTCAAATTTGTTGAGCAGTGATTTGAAATTTAATAGAGGTAGTTAAACTATCTGGGACATCCACACAAAAACCCACCCAGATTTGGCCAATATATAAATTCTGCATAAATGCACAGTTCACACAAGTATAACAGAAACATTTCTGCAACTACTTAACTACTAAATCACCCTCCAATGAATTTGCCACGGTCCTTTCTGAAGCACCCCGAGATGACCAGGACTACACATCAACCCCCAATACAGTAGTGCAGATCAGATCTTCACAGCTCTTACAGTGCTATATTTATGGTACAAGCACAAGTGCAAAGAGAGCACACCAACATTTTTCAGACCAGAGTACCTAAAGTACATCATTCTCATCAGGGTAAGATGTAAGACTTCATCTTCCATCTCAGGCTTTTAGCCCTTCTCTGTGCTAGACCTTTGTTTTTGCAGCATAGGGAATAAGAGCACAAGTTCTGGAAAAGATGGTCTACAGCCTCCTCACCTCACCAGTCAGAGGGCACATAGGCACGTGTGGTAACTGTCTAAAGAAGCTGAAGATAGGTGATGTAAACAACCTGGGAGTACAGTCTCATGTTTGATACCACTGACAAATTCAATCTCTACTGCAGTAGAGAGATTTATCTGTGGTCTAGACACATCACTGCAGAACTGCAGATATGACTCTTGTATGTTCTTTGTCTCACAGGCCCCCGATAGATACCATTTGCTAGCATGTGAAAAAACTTCAGCTGCAATAGCAGCTGCACTTCAGGATGTACTGGAACATCAAAATCTCATGGGTCTGAATCTGGTCCTTCAAAACAGTTTCATACCTTAGGTATTGCATTCCGAGCCTTAATTTCAATCCGCAAATCAAAAAGGAAGTTATTAGTGCAGGGTTGGCAAGATGATTTCCCATTTTCTATTTCAAGAGTTAGAACTCTTTAACTTTGAATATGTTCTTTCAGTACTTTCTTACGTAATTATCTACTAATACAATGCAAGTACAGATATTAATGCTCATGTTACTGTAGCAATGGTATCCTGGCACTGTGCAAAGCTGTTTCTGTGAATGAAGAGTGGTTTTCAATAGGAGCTACAAGTACAACCAGCTTCCTTAAGGACTTCGGTGATCGTAAGGCATGACTACAGTAACAAACAATGAAGTGCATAAAACCCAATTAAAACCTGAAGCTCATCTGGTGGGATTTCTCTTGCATTATGATTCAGAACATCTCTTCTAACTTGAATAGCTATGGAATGACTAAAAGTATACAAACTGCACCTAATTCTAGTCCACACAACTAAAATGGTATTGGAAAGCACTATGCTGGCAGTTTTCCAAACATTTCATTTTCTTGTTTAGTAGACTATGGAAGTCATGAGATCCTAATGCACCCATAAAATAGCACAAAGTTCCATTAGTAGAGGGGGTAACAAACATTAACCTGCTACTGAAGAAAATGAAAACATTTATCCTCAACACACAGGTAATTATTACCTCCAGTACTAACATAAATCCCTTATCAAGGCAGGAGAATGCACCAAAATGTTTATTCATCAGTTTACAAAGTAACAAGAAGTTTTTGGGGTTAGAGCCAGACTAACAAAACACTTGGCTTGAAAACTCTCTTGGGAAAAGCAGATGGGATACACTGTGCCCTTCTAAAACTTAAAACTCTGTTTTCTAACAAGAAATTGTGGACACCTAACAGCATTATTATGATTTTAAAAATTTGTTTCACATAGCTCCATTAGCTTTGGCAAGAGCTTTTAAGTGACAGTTTGTTAGAGGTTAGGCTCATTACCATCATCTTTTTGTATACTTTCCAAGATCCCTGCAATACCCAGGGAGAGCAGAAGGGGAAAAATAAGTATGAACCACTGCATTTTTTTCTATTAGGAATTTTCTGGCCATTTTGAAACATCAGGTTTTCATACTGAATTAAACAAAGCCAATCTCAAGCTCTGCAAATAATAAAACAAAAAACCACATGAAAAAATTTCTGGGAAAGTTAACACTACTCATAAGTTCACTTAAGTCACCGAACTCATGAGTTTTGAGAAATATTCTCTTCTACCAGTAAACAAAACTTCTCAAAAGTATTAAGTTAGCATTGAACTAACTAAAGTTAGTTTTGGTTGGGACAGAATTAATTTTCTTTGCAGTATGGGGCAATGTTTTGGATTTCTGCTGTAAACAGAGCTGGTAACTCCAGGATGTTTTAGTTACTGCTGAGCAGAGATTGCAGAGTCAAGGCCTTTTCTGCTCCCCATCCCACCCACCACTGGGTAGCCTGGGTTGCACAAGAAGCTGGGAAGGGACTCAGCCAGGACAGCTGGCCCTGCTGACCCAGGGGACGATGCTCCATGAGGCTGCTGCTGAGCAACTGCCTTCATTTGCAGCCTTTCTTCTTGGGTTCTATGTCTCTCTTAAATATTAATTTTCTATATTATTATCACCATCATTATTAAACTGTACATATCTCAACCCACAAGTTTTCTCACTTTCACCCTTATGATTTTCTACCCATAGCCTGGTAGGGGCGAGTGAGTGAGCAGCCATGTGGTGCTCAGTTTCCAGCTGGAGTTAAACCACAACAGCAAGCTGAAAGTCTAAATTACAGGGAAATTTCAGAGATAAGAGTCTCCAGAAGCCTCCATTTCTTCCTCTTCTCTAATTTAAATTTATAAATTAACTGTCAGTCTGTTAGTCTGGGCTTTTAAAATTCAGTTTCAAAAATCTTAGAAGAAAATGTTGCTTAAATATTGTATTGCTGGACTTTCATTTTTTATCGATCTTATTAATTTGACACAATTCAAACTAATTGCAAATTACCTTGAAAACTGGATTATTACTTTAAAATCGGTAACTGCCTAATTTTGACATGTTAGAAATGTGACATTAATTGTCTCGAGTTGCCTGTAATTTATACACAAAAAAAAGAGATCACAAAAACTACAAAAATGCTGAAAAGCTCCTTGTTCCATTAACAGGTAATATGCACTGTGCAAAATTTGCCTTGCATCACCATTTTTTAAATATTCTGCTATTCTTGTGCCTTGCAAGAGTAAGACAACTGAGAAAGTTGTCACAAACCTTTACAGACTTCAGTGGAAAGTCCAAGTGAACTTCACTGCAGAGACTGAGCAGCTCACAGATGTTGCTACAGCCCAGCTAAGCAGCACCTGCTGCCTGCAGAGAATCCAAGCCTGCAGTGTATTCAATGCCTGTTCTCACAGCCAAGAGCCTGGCAGTCAGTTCTGTAAGGCGAGGATGCAGCAAACCTCCCCACAACCCAGTGCCACTGGAGAAAACTCATCACTACCGCTCATCTTTGTGATAATGGGCTTATTTAGATAATTAGCAGCAGAGTTTTTAAAATGACCTTGCTAAGTAAGAGATTCTGTAACTAAACCTGAAAAAACATTTCTCATCATACAAATATTAAAACCTGAAAATCTGCTGGATTAATTTAAAGAATTTGGATGTTAGTAAAATTTCACAGTGGCTGTTAACTTGAAAGCTGCAAGATAATTTTTTTAACAAGTATAAATATTTATACATATGATCTGTACTTAAGACTTAAATTCTTAGTCAAATATGAAACACTGTGTATCATCTAGTTCTGGACAAGGTTCAAGAAGGCAAGTAAGAATAGATTCATCAGCTTTCAAACCAAACTAAAGTAATGCTAATTTTTAAACCAATAGGATTTAATCACTGGCATAAAAATAGTTTCAATAGTAACAATTTCCTTATTCACAACCTATATATAATTTGAAAAAGCACAAATGATTATCAGCTTCCTTTCCAGCTATTTGAGTAGGCTGGCATTTAGAAGGAAACACAGAAAGGGATATAAATTGGCATTCTACCAACAAACAGAAAACCAGAGCATTTTATCTTAAAAAGTTAATCACACCTCTCCCAGTCTGAGCTACTTGTACAAAACAAGCGCTTTGGGAAAAGTTTTCATACCAGGAATCAAATTATTCTGGTCCCTTCTTTGGAGAATATGTGGAATCCCAAATGAGAATTTAAAGCCAGATTCCATCCATCCACAATTTGCATGTAATGTTTTCTAAACTTCAATACCAAGACCTACTGACCAAAGCATTAATGCTAAGTTAATTTACCACCTGTAATTACCAACCTGCTTTCTGTTCTATGTTACTATGTTTCTGTTTCTGTTACTACGTTACTATTTGACTTCATTTCAAGTCAGGCTGACTGAAATCCTAATTTGTGGCAGTGAGGTATTACACCACAATGCATTTTCAGTACTGCTGGGAAAAGCTCACTAAACTTTAAACCCAACATAAACACCAAGGAAACCTTCTGCAGATGAGGCTAATTTCAGAACCAAAACAAATAAATTATTTAATTACACAGAAAATGTGTACATTAATTAAAAAAAAAAAAACCATGCAAATTAAGACAAGTAACACACTAATCTACAATATTGGTATTATGGGAGGAAGCCATTTCCAAACACATTAATTCAATAAATTTCCTTGGATCAATACACTTCATGTATATAATACCCAAAATTTAAATACTCTCTGCTCCTCTGTTATTATTTCTTCTATAAAGATTTGGGGAACATCCTACATACAGATGATGCAGTCTCAAACAACCTGAAATAAAGCACACAAAAAAACCCCCCAAACAAACTCAATTTTCATTTTTACAGCAGTATTTTATAAAAAGACCATCACAGATATTTCTTTGGTTGTTGAAGCTTGTCCCATGAAATTCTGCAGATACATTTTCATTAAGTGTTGGGGTACTGCTAATTTAGTGCTCTATTTTAAATAACTAGCTGAATTGTGTAAAGGTAAAAACAATCTAACCTAGCTCTCAATCTGCATAAATGTCACCTTCTCAGGAGGAAAAGGTTTAAAATGCTATGGCCCTTTCCACAAAAGCTACTTTACAGAAGCTGTGTGACAAAAATGAGTTTTCCACATTCATGAAATGCAAAATATACTTTTACATCAGGCTCTCAACCAGCTGGAACACGTGTGAGCTGGCACTAGCCTGTGAGAAAGTGCATACACACACACACAGCATATAGATATAGCACACAGGCATACACAGGGTAATTCATAATATTTTCTGGGGAGAAAAAAAATAGTTTACTTGTCCATGGATGGATTAACATGGAGCTTTTAGCAGAAGAAATCAAACTTCCAGCTTGTTTTTGATGCAGATTCATGAGACAACTGAGGCAATCTAATAGCACAGCAAAAGGGAAAATCCTCTCCACCTCTTTCTTTGTACTTGCCCTGGTATTCCTCTGACCCAATCAGAGGCAATTCAGCCCAGTAAGCCAGCATAAAATTATTCACTTCTTTTGCTGGTTCAAATAGATCCAATCCATCTACTTACTTCCTACCTTACACAGTCCCTAGTTTCAAATGTTTTTCTAAATGCTATAATATTCTTTAATTTATATTATTGCATGGAGATCAAGAACCCTTGTAGCCAAAATGTATTGGTCAACTAAGACACAAAATATTCAGTAAACAGATACAAAACCCAGAAACTGTAGTATAATTGTTTTAAATTTCTCTTTTAATCCATCAGTGGCTAGTAAACCTCCACTTTTATCTATCATTCATTCTCAGCCCATTCTGGCAGCCAAAATTCTCTCATCAATATGGTGATTGAACCCGGGTTGCTGATTATAGTAGCTTAGTTTATTGCTGCTCAGAAAAACTGCAAACAAAGGCAGGAGTTCCGCAGCCATAAACAAATTGAAACATTAATTTTGGCTTTTGTTCATGTCACTGCAAAGTACATTTTATTAAGAAAAGCCAGGAGCAAACTATTTTTGTCATCCATGCTGTTGTCATTAGATGCCAGTATTATACCAACTGAAAAAGTAAAAAAGTGACAAGTACTGTTTTCCACCATCCATTTCATATTTTTTAGCATAATATTCTTTTACCATTAGCAATTTTTCTGTACTTTTCACTTATGCAGAATGACCCCCTCTCCAAACATAATCTGGCTGCTTTGGTATGTAAAATGCTCATACTAACATTGGTATAGAACCACATGACAAGACCCAATCCCAGAATGAATATGAGAAAAAAACGCATCCTTCTGTTTTAAATTCTTCTCACAAGATGTCAGTTCAGAGTTTTACTTGCTTTGTAATATCAAAGGCAAAAGAAAAAAGTCTCACTTGTGAAATATGGTTGATTGAAGATTCCATGCGCCGAAGCTGGGATGCCTGGATATCCAGCATTTGGAGAACATTGTTGGCCAAAGTGTTGATCAGATAGGCTACGCTTGCTAACGACTGGGTTGTGTAGGCTTTGGTTTCTTCCAGGGCTCGCTGCTTATCTGCTGACTGAAAAACAGGAAGAAAAGGTTTATTTAGCACAAAGTCTTTCACACAAAGATTCTTGGAATCAACTCTTTTTGCCTGCATTTATAGACAACGAATTATACAAGTCAAACTAATTCTAAATACAAGTTACTATTTTTCCACAAAAGATACCACCTTTGTATTTTAAGAGTTTCTACACTTTCAAAGAAGAATTAAGCTCCATTTTTTCTTTAAATATACTTGTATTTTTCTTGCCAGAAGTCCAACTTCTTATTCAGAATTTTAGCAATTTACTTAGCAAAGCACTCTGAGGTAATTTAGTTATTTTGCCTAGATTTTATATGATTTAGAACTGCTTCATTTTTCTAAACCTGGTACTTCGTTTATAACTCCTAACAGCCTACAAGAAGCTGCCAAATACCATATTCCTCATCTCTCCCAATCATTTAGACCTCATTGTTGTCACAAATGATCATTCACAGTGAATTATAACTACTCCATTAAAATGGTAGCTGAATACAATGTGAGAAGAATAATATTTTAAAGAGTAAGTCCATGTTTTCTTCTTAAACAAGTTTTGTACTTTTTCACATTGCCAATACTATTTTCTATGAAAAATTAATATGATCCATTTTTCTAGTAGTAGAGCACCTAAAAGTATTTAGGCTATCAATAGACAATATATCCATTAGAAATTTTAAAACGCACATACATTTCAAACAGCATTAAAAACAATATACTAAGAATCTAATTGTTAGGTTTCTGTGTTTCTCCTTGGAAAATAGTTAACATCACTAAGATGTAATTCAGTACAAAGAATACAGAATAAAGCACTGGTAAAACATACAATTAAGATGCTAAGAAACTTTCCAGTTTCCAAGGCTTCAGTATACAGTGAACTTCACTTTCAGGTGATCTTTAGCCATCTCACAGGCTGATGGTGCTGTTTCTGAAGCAATGGTTGATAAATGTTCTCTACTCCCACCTGTCATTATAATACTGTATTTCATCATTTCCTTGGCTTTTTATATTTTCCATATGGGTTGGATATCAAGATTCAAGAAATGTGCTGTTAATAAAGAGGGAATACAAAGCCATTACATATCTTTCAGCACAAGCTGAATCTAACATCCATTGTATTATATGTACTTTGAGAAACACAGAAAGTTAGTATACCTGTATTTCAGGAAAACAATTCCTACAGCTCAGTATGTTTCCCAAGACCTTGTAGTAAGATTCTTAAAAGAAGATTGCTAGCTTTCATAGGAAAAAAAAAATCCCCGACATGTAAACACAGACACAAGACTTCATTAAATGCTCACATGAAAGATATCCAATACTTTTTCTTTCCTGGCAAGTTCTTCCAGATCTCATTTAAGAACTCATGACTTTTTACCAGCTGAGTAGTATGTCTTGTACATAAAAGAGCTTGAAACTCAGCTTAAGTACTCCCAAATGAAGGAACATCAAGCTTTGTACTTCTATTCTCACATTGCTGGCTTGTAAATACACTCTTTCTTCCCCCCTCCCTGCTCATACCCCCAGCTCAGCCTGCACACTCCCCTGCAGCAGGCACGCTCCACAGCCATTCAAACCATTTCTCAGTGGCAATAATAAAAATGACCAGAAGCTCTCCTGTTTGGCTCTGCAGCTGCTGCCAAGCTATTTATAGAAGCAGAAAATTCTGATTTCCATTAGAACACTGTACATCCAGAGAAGACGAGTATAATCCAGGAAACACAGTATTTTTTCATTAACAGACAAAGTGTTGGAGAACAAAAGGAAAAATTTCCTTAAATTTAAGTATTATGAGCCTCTGATATGGTTTTTCTGCTTAAAGAAGCACAAATATGAATCCATGTTCAGAGCTAGTCCATCCAGGACTGTAACCTAATAGCTAAATTCAAGTCACCCTCAGATCAAACCAACAAGAAACTGACTTCTCAATGCTCAAATGCATTAAAGATCTCATAAAACAATACTATAAACTACTTTGAAACTGTTAACAGCACAAAACCCCATTTGACTGAGGTGTCTAATTCATGAATTTAGCTGGTAACAGCTGTGATTTGCCCTACATGTCTTTTTACAGAGCCCAAAATTCTCTGAGGCAAACTCCACTCACATTTGGCACATCAAAACTAAAGTTTGAACTTTCTTCCTGTGAAGAATCTGTTCAAAATAAAATGACTATTTGAACCTACTACTGTCAATCCATTTCAAAAGAACAAAAAATAATTAGTGGCAGCATTTTAAAACAATCATGTTTACCCTGAAAACTTTCAAGAGATGAAAACTTGAATGACTCACAGCAAGAGTAAAAACTCTAGAATACTTACAGAAAAATCTTAAGTTCCCCTGTGGAAATATAACAGTAAATGCCAGTTAAAATTAAACTTGAAATGATAAGTTGTGTTTAGCATGAAATCCATCTTTTAATTTGACAAGTAGATTTTCAGAGATGGTACCTTATGTGCTACTATGTAACAAAATCCCTATTTATACTCCACATGGACAGCAAATTACATTGTTGCAAATGCTGCTGTGCTCGCTGACTATGAAATTATGTAAATAAAGGGATTTCTGCTAATAAGATAATGGTTTCAAGTCATCAGTAACAAAATTCAAACATAATCCTTGGCAGTCTAAGTTCTGATACTCTTGATCATCCTAACACCAAAGCATCAGCCAGTATGCTTCACATCAGACTTTAAGGCAGACAAGAAGTTATTTCAATATCCATATCTACCAAAATTCCCTGGTGAAAGAAAAAAATATCAAACTGGTAAGACTCTCTACAGTAGTTTAAGTCACCTATGGAAGACTCTTTCTGAGAAGAATACCAAAAACAAGAGAAACATGTTCCGTGTTCATTATAACAAAAAGACTTGTTCCTGAGGATACTTAAGCATATTAACCAGAGTCGTTGAAGCCCTTCAGTTCTCAGAAACATGGTGTTCAGCATGATCAAGCACTGGTAGCAAGTGTTTTCAGGGCCCTGACCTAAATTAAATGCCATGAAGCAGACCTTTCAGTATGTCTCCAGTTTTCAAGTATCTTTAACACTCACACACATAAAATTATGCATGTCTGTGAAAAAATACAGGCTCATAACATCTATCCACACACAACTCCTAGGAAGGCAATGCTTTCAACCATTAGCACAGTTTCATCTGTATTTTTTTAATATATAATAAATTTAAGAAGTCAAAGCTAGTGTCTGACAAACAAGTCTTCTGAAACACTGCCAACATAGGGATCCTCTCATTCCTAGACCAAACATATCCGTTCCACTGTCTATGCAGGGCCGCATGGCAGACTGAGTACCTGACCTAGTTTAGAACTAACTTTAGAAACAAATGGTTGTTTTAAACACCAGTCACTTCCATTATCTTTCCTGACACGCAAACTTGCAAACACTACCCCTAGTAAAACTATGTAGATGCCACAAAGAAAAAGCAAAAAAAAAAAACCTCAGTAAATAATGGTCTAAGCAATTGTCATGGTATTATGGAGACTCAGGATCTATTTTAATCAGCAGTACCTATCACAGTAGATGTCCCCAACACCAAGTGCACACTCCATCTGCTGTAGTGAATTAGACCAGGCACATCTCAAGTGAAAATCATGTGATACATAAACCAAATTATAAGTTTTACCTCATCCAAACCACTGCCTAGCCAGAGAAACACAAGGAAGGATACAATCAAGAATAAAAGGGAAGAACTACCCAGAGTTGCTGAGCTTGCAAGGAAAGGAACAAGTGCTGGAACATCACTACAGCTCTTCCACCCCTCCACTACCTCTAGTTTTAATTCACCCAAATTGTACAGTGTCCCGTGTTACTCTTAATATTTTTCCATTAACTGCGTTAAGAATGCTGCTGTGTCTCCACCTCTTAAACCTGTAGCTTCAACTTCTCACACAATGTTAAAATACTTGAGTATCACAGCTGGATTATCTTCACAGCCTTAAACAGAAATGTTTAGATCATGTCTTCTATGCCCATGTTACAGAATTTCCAGGCAACAGCTTAGCATTTATTCTGTTTATCGTTTTTCTCCATACACATCAGGTGTCCATGTGAGTCACAAGGCAGCATCCTTTTCTCCTGCTCTCAGCAGTAAGAGAACCATTTTGACTCACCACTAAGAGTTCATCTGATGCTCCTGCCAGCTACATATGGAGTGGGGACAGCGTCAGCTCCTACTGGGAGATGCTCTCCCCGCTGCAGCAACAAGTGGTTCACCATGCACCTGGACACAGCAGCAGCCATGGCTCTGCCCAGCTCTCCTCTGGAGAGTGTTTTCCATTCGTGGGAAGCACCCAGTACTGAAACAGTTATTTTATCTCCACCAGAAAACAAAACAAGCTATCAACTACATGGAAATGTTTCACAGGATGAACTCAGCCCGAGAGCTACAGCACAGACTACAGAGACTACACAAACTGGGGCTTTTAGATAAAAGGAGATCAAAGCCATTCAAGTCAGCTACAAATGCACAGACTTCACAGTCAGTCAGAAAAGCCATGTATTACATACACAAGGCAACAGTGTGTGTTTGCTTTCAGACACTGGAGAATTATTAAGTTTCCACTTCAACATGCCAGTCCAACAATGGACACTAAATCTAACAGCTCAGGAATGATCATAAATGTTCACCTGAAAATATTGCTCATTTTTTATTAGACTGTATAAACCAAATTGCTAGCAATAGAAATTATGTGGAATTCAACCTGCAGTAAATGTAAAGATGATTATTTTTCACGTCAGGATGCAGAGCCCAAGCACCACTTTTTCTTCCCACTCTGGAAGTTTCATTTACACTGCACAATTACATTACCAGACTTGAATAAGAAATAGCCTGGAGCGCTGACTATATAAAATATCCTTTCACTTTAGGAATTAAATGTCTCAGTGTTTAGT